ACTGGAGTTCAGACGTGTGCTCTTCCGATCTTAAATTCACGATGATTGAATTCACAATCAGATTGTACGATGTTGCTTCAAAGGGTAAATATTTTTATTCCTTATAAACTTATAATAAAATCTCACTTACGTGTAGCTTTGAATGAATTGGTTAAATTTTAAAGTATATTACATTTAATATATTAAATGTTAGTCTCCTTAAATGTTTTTTCTAGAAATAATATTAATATAAAATGAAATTGTTTACAAATGTTTGTAATCAAATTGCATTCAATCATTCAGTGAAAACTATTTAGATTTGTTTTTAATGCATACATGAAATTATATAAGGACTTTTCCTGAATTTCGCATACACTTTTTCTATTATTGTAAATACTCAAGCAAAAATGTTCGGTTCATAGACGACGATTCGAAATCTATACATTTAAATGTACGTACATCTAGATGTACAGACCTGGAATACTTATTCATATCAAAACAATTTTTTGAAAAAAGTTAAATATATAAAAATTATTAAGTCTCAATTAGTTTGTATATCATGATCTGTCATATGATAATAGTTAGATAAGAATTGTGTAGTAATAGAGTTATTAAATTTTTATTTAGATTGACTGACTAAATTCACAGGTTTTTTAATTAAATAATTTGTAAATTCTGTATCCCTAAGCAGAATATTGTGTAATACAATTATTAAAATTTAAAATAGTATAAAACGCTATATTTCAGAACAATGTTGTAACTAGGATAATGCTGTCGATGCCGTTACACCGGGCGCAATCGTTAAAATTGACGCAATTGAAATCATGCATTACTGGTCAAAAAAGTATAAGTTCACCGTCAGAAATTATTTACGGATTTTCTTAAAAAATTGGGTTATTTAGTGAATTAATTTAAAAAATATATTATAAAAGATTTTACAGGGCGAACTTTTTACTATAAAAAGTCTTTATTTACTCACTTTGATGCTAAAAAGTCTTAATCAATTTTGAATAGAGTCGTATATGACAAATACAAAATCTCGAAATTTGTGATTTTCTACTAATTCGACTAACAAAAAGTAGTGAAGATCGTTAATACTATTAAAGTACGGACTTTGTTTTATCAAATTAAGAAAAATAACTTTTTTGCCTATGCTAAGTATTTAGCAAGATATTGCAATTTTAACTAACTTCTGTTTTTTAATTTTAGTACAATGGTTCTACAAAAGTAAACGCGACAATTTTATCAACTTTGTGTAGACGACATGTATAAAAATGTAATTTTTAATTGTTTGTATCTCGAAGTATTGAAATAATCAATCTCATTCTAATTACGCCATCATGTCAACGACCTTTAGTACAACACATAGTTTCAATTTCAAGAAATTGTAAACATTTCGAATTTGTGAGTGTACTACATGAAGAATTCCAGATTTTTTACGATATAATAGATTAGTTGTTATTTACCATTTTGTTGTCAAATGTATAGATTGAATATTTCATTTGCGAAACGACTTCACAGAGGACTCATCAATCATTTCATCCAGCATAATGTTAGGATCAATATAGTTGTCATCATTTTGATTATTTTTAGTGGCCTTTAAAAATTCTTTTCCAATTCTATTTTGCACTGTATTACTTGACACCTACATAACAAAATAAAATGTTGCAGAAGATAACATGATAGATTACAGTATATATAAGATATAAAAGAATGTATAATACAGTACTAACTGTGAACGAAGTCATTAAAAGAGGCTTTATTTGACATTCTCGTAATATTATTTTTTTATTCTAAGTGCATGGCTCACTCGCTCAGAAAAATAGTATTAATATTGTTAAAGGGGGAACTGCGCTCTTCACTCGTTGTCCTTCGCCCAGGTGTATTCGAAATGATCTAGATATTGAAAAAATAAATCATCATTATTCTCCTCGGTAATTTCTCTTTATAATTCAGTTGTACTTCGGTAATTCGAATCTCAAGGCAATAGAAATATAAAACTCTTTGAATTATAAATTTTAATTAATCAAGTAAAAACAGAATTAATAGGAATTTTATTTAAAATTTCGGATAGGTTTAAAGAATTTCTCAATATAGTCTTAAAATGAATTAGATACTAAAAGTTCTAATAATGTATAGAATTTGATGCGTTTAACATTTTAATTTTTGTTTTTATTTATATAATAGTTATATCTCTATACTTAATTTTTATAAATATAATGAAAGATTTTGTCTGGAAACGAAAGTATATATGTAAAGATTAAATTGTTTCACGCATAATATTCTGTGTAATTAAATTTTTACTGCTTGATTTGTTATTTTTGTATTATCATTTTTAGATTAAAAAGTCTGTATGTAGTATATATCAATTTTTTCAATAAATTATCTTTTAATTTAAGGAGTCTGCAATATGGAAGTAGCTAATAAGGGCGGGTTCTACTCCATGGGGCTACGAGGGGGGGTGAGGGGCAGGAGGGTCCACAGGGGAAGCCGCAGGGAGGGGGAAGCCGCGGGGAAGGGGAAACCGCTCAGAACGTTCACGGTCTGATGCGGGGTCCGCGGGGAGGGGGAAGCCGCGGAAAGCCGCTCGATCAGCTGGCCTGACCGCGGGGACGGGGGAACCGCGTTGTGGGTGCGGGATGCGCGGGGAAGAGGGAACCGCGTCGTTGATGTGGGATGCGCGGGGAAGAGGGATACCGCGTTGGAGTTGCGGGTATCGCGGGGAAAGGGGAACCGCGCTCGCGTTCGCCGCCGCCGTCGTCGCCGCCGCCGCCGCGTTCGCCGCCGCCGCCGTTGCACACGAGCCCCACCCCACGCTTATCGGTCGCGGACCCACTCGTTGCGCACGTACACGAAATGGAATGGGAAAATGAGAAGAAAAATATTAATCTTAAAATAATAAAAAAATGTTTATTTTAAAATTCAGATAATGTAAAAAATATTTATTTAGCAAATTTATCTGATGTGATCTATTGTGAGACAAATCCATTTATCCGTTGCTATCTGCAACAGACAAAGAAGACGTATATTTAAAAAAATTGCTAAGAAGAAAGACTGAAGAAAGGATAGCTATTTAAAAAATACTCACGTTAATTGTAGAAGCAAACGGTCCTTGTATCCGTAGCCACGTCCACAATTATGCACAGCGGCGCTTCCTGCCCTAGGCTCACCGGTACCTGCGCGCTCCTGACCCTCGCCTGCAGGCTCCGCGGCGTCTGCGGGCTCCTCGCATGCTCCTTCAGGCTCGCCTGCTCCCGCAGAGACGTTTGAGCCCTCCCGCGGGTTCACATCCTCCCACATCCTCGCGTCCCATGACGCCTCCATCTGCGGGTTCACCCGCGTCCTCGCGCCGCTGTCATCGTCATTGTCGTCATCATCGTCATCGTCACTGTCGAGGAGATCATTCTGAAAAAAAAACATCGTATTTATCCAATAGTAAAAAACGTTGAAGTTATCTGAGAGTAATTGCTTTTGTACTGACCATGAATTGTCGACGCTCCTTAGCCGCCACCCTCTGCTGTATGTACGCCATCCATGCGTCATCCCTCTCGTCACTGTCCAACATACGACACTCCCAAATCCTCGTATAATATAAACAACTGGATTTCAATGTCTTATGAGCAAAGCAGAATATATTATCGTTAAACTTATTATGATCTTTTAGCACTGTTTTAAACCCATTTTCACGTTCGCGAAGAAGAATTGCCAGCGGTGGCATACACTCTGTATCCTCATA